CTCTTATAAAAATGGGATAATCAGGGCTATCCCGGCTCAGGCCTAAGTCGAGGCGACATGGCTAAAGTCACTAAGAAAGTTGGAATCCTTGGTAAAGATGGGACCCGCTACGGTGCCTCCCTCCAGAAAATGGTGAAGAAAACCGAAATCCACCAGCAGGCCAGGTACACTCATTCCTCATTCCTTCTGTGACAAAACCAAGATGAAGAGATGGGCTGTGGGGATCGGGCACAGGAAAACAGTGGCTGGGGGTGCCTGGCCCTACGGCCCCATGGCCCCATGTCTGCCGTCACTGTCAAGTCTGCCGTCAGAAGGACGAAGGAATTGAAGGACCAGCCGGAAGTCCCAGCATATCACAAAATGGTGGCTTGCTGTTGATTGCATTAACTGGGTGTTCTGATGTGACTGCATTCATATTGCCCCCTCAAAAGCGATTGGTAAATGGAAGCCCTTCCGATTTGAATTGGAAAGTTTGCTGAGGCGGGTTATTGTGATCAGGTTTTTTCCTCCAGTAGTCAGATGACAATGGCCTGAAACCAAGTCTTACAGCTTGGGTGAGTATATGCTTAGCTATTTTTTTTTTTTAACCACTGTTCAACTTCTCAGAGACACATTGACAGATTGTGCACAGTTTGTTTTAAAGGTAGAATGTGCTAAAATACACAAAGGACATACACAAACTGAAAAACAAACAGGATAAGAGAAGCGGAGTGGGAAGACTCCAGGCAACAGCTACTGTCACCTGAAATGATTTCCTAAATATTTCCACGAGGTTAGTTAGAAAAATTTGAAAGCCCAAGGACCCCTCAGCGATCGGTGATTTGCTACCAATGGGAGTGAAGGGACCTTGATTTGGCCAAGGGTCTCGGAACCTGGGCCTTTGGGCCGGACCTCAGGGACATTTCTCCTGCTCCCCCGCAGCTGCCTCCTGGGTAGGGCCTTTGTGCCCTCAGACACTCTCTAGTGATGCCATCCCTGATTATTTGGGACTCACGCCTTGTTTGCTCAGTGAGGTCCTGGCCAGGTCATTCCACTGGCATTTGTTTGGTTGAAGAAAAAGAGGACAGGCTCTCCCTCTGTCCCAGCAGTCTGTGCGCTGGAAGTTTGGGGAAACCCTATTCCGAGCCTGCAGAGGCTTTTTACGGGGAGTCACTTCTGCCAGTGCTGTTTCCTCTTCGGCAGGGGCT